AAATAAAAAAGTTTTCTATACAAGAATTTGATTTTGCTCGGTCAGTTTGTATGGCAGCTATATGCTATAGTTGTCCGATCTGAGCCATTTGTTCGGAAATTGTAGCAATGGGTTTGACAATAATCCATGCAAAATTTCGTGAMGATATCTGGACAAATAAAAAAGTTTTCTACCCAAGAACCAGATATTGATCATTCAGTTTGTATGGCAGCTATATGCTATAGTGGTCCGATTTGAACAATTTGTTTAAATATTCTAATAATTGGGCTTTATAGTAAGAAAGAAATGTAAATATTTTGCAAAACTCCATATGTATCAGGGAAAATCATTACCAGGACTCCTTCAAGGGCTCCAGTTTTTCAATTCACAGTACTATGCTGAGGTATTCACGAAATTCATCTAWAGTGGGGCCTTGGTGGGTAATAACTTTCAAATTTGGCGCCTATATTATGATATACTTASAGAAAGAGAGAGAGAATTAGAGGGAACTATTTTGGAGGTGAAGTCCTATTACAGGAAAAAAAAAATCTATAACAGAACCGTAAGTAATAGATATAAAGAGCCGATTATTTTCGCTACGTATTGTAAATTACATTCTGTAGAGAACTCAAAACCCAAACCACTATTACTAAAAGCTTTTTTGATTTATTCAAAAAAATACTGGCTACAAAATTGTTGGACGAATGTTGTTCTAATTGGTACCTAATCMCCGTTAGGATGGTAAGGACGCCATCATCGACGCCATCCAGCGGTAGGCCCAAGACACGTGCTTTCGACGAAGTTGAACCTAAGGGAGATGGGTGTCAGATGTGTAGGGTTAGCAGGGCATACGAAGAGCTTGGTATTGTCATGCGGGGACTCATTTCATGCTAGACATACACTGAAAAAAAAAAAATTATTTGAGTTTCTTAATGTAGCAAAATTCATCAGCCACCCTGTCCGAGAGATAACCATTTTCGTTAGAGCACATGCCATCGATCGTGCAGCCYTCAGCGTACGAGGTGACAAAAATTCCCTCTGGTGGCTGCAGGAGTTTCGAGATGTAGCAATTAAACTGAGGCGGGGAGGGCGAAACCACCCTGAAGAGACCCCTGCTTAATTCTTCTGTTTGGAGTTTTTACTTCTAAATGGTACGGATGATTGAAAAACGCTCAAGTATTTCATAGTCAACACTTTCCGTTCTGCAGGGAGCGTCGATTTTTCGATGTCCTCAAGTAGCGTTGTGTGATTGGCTGTGTCATAGGCTTTTGACAAGTCCAACGCTACGAGGATCGTTCTCTCGCAGGGTGGTTTTTGGTTAAGACCATGAACTATCTGGTACTTTATGTTGTGCACTTTTCGAAAGTCATGCTGATGGTGAGCYAGACAGCTCAGATTTCTTTTAGCACGCTGCCCATAGCACAAACAAAGACAGACGAGTCTATGTAACCGAAAGGGATCCGAATTGTTATGTTATTGTCAACTCGGCAGCATTCCTYCAAAGAACTGCAGGGAGCAGAGATGCTTATCAGTTTCAGAACCATAACTTAATAAGCACAATTCGTTRAAATGGCATGAAATTTTGACAACATTTTAATTAAGGTTACTACTCTARGGCAAGGATAGAGATTTTTAATTTTTTGTATGATATTTCGGTTAGGCGAAAGACTTTTCAGCCAGTATATAAACAGAAATTCGTTAAAAAATTATTAAATATAAACATACTATTGTGATCAAATTGAAAGGTGCAGCGAAGTATAAATTAAAAATTCGCCTTTCAATTGGAACACAGTAGTATGTACGTACTGGTGTCTCAGGTGAAACAAATATGGGTGAACTTAAAAAAAATGCATGCAATTATGAAAGTATTTAAAAAAAAAATATATGAAGAACATGGTTATATAAAAAAAAAAAATTTCGCAACAGTTTAATGTGAGGTTAAGCTTGAAATGTTGATGTATTATTAAATATTCAGCACTTTTARGGTTGTGTATGCTATGTAAATATATGMCWTTTTYYWWTTTTKSYWAAAAAAAGTCGCCATAACTGGCATTCGCTATAGTATTTGGCTTTGCATGTTAATTTTTATATTGTGTATATTACTCTGCGTGTGCGTGTGAGTACAGTTGACAAAAAAACCAAAAAAACAAGTCGCTCAACTACTCAAAATATTTGCCGCGCAATGCAGTGTGTCTACGGCGCATACAATACTTTAGTGTTAGAAAAAGCTTTATAACTGTGTGCACCATTRCTATGGCGTTAGTCTCTAACAGAACTCAACTAAGTTACGCAACGGAGAATAGAGCAAAATATTTATATGAAAAACTATGTGTCATGTGCTGACTATATGCGAAATTGCAATCAATTATTTGCGACTCCTTTGCGAAGCCTTTGAGATGTTKTCGTATGGCATTTACCTTTATCAGTTGGTGAACCTAAAGTTAGACTGCTGAGGCTTGAACTCAAATTGTATGGACGTGGTGATGGCGGCACCGGCACAGTCTCATCACCTGGYAGGCATGTCTCAACCATAGCCTCCAAACAATTCACAAATAATTCCGAAGATTCGCCCATCATGGTGTACTAGTRGGTGGTAAAAGTAGTTGTTTTTATAAATGACTTCTTTAGTAAATAAATTAAATGCACGTTTGTACCTTTGTAAAGGGACCAGCGAACCGCCARAGGCCACCAAAGCCGCAACTTTGCAGGAAATGCAGTTGCTGTTGTGAGGGATCCTCGCTGGCGAGCATATTTTGTATGATGCTTTGTACTGAATTCAGCACGACTTGGTCGTGTGAGACTGAAAGTATATTGTTAATCTTCTGGTCCAGCAGCGAGTGTCTGTTAAAGTAAAAAAAAAATAAATAAAAATGGTAGGAAAAAAACATTAAAACTTAAACATTGTCAGATTTGTGCAACGCGTCTTACATGACTGGRAACACCTTGGGGAATACGACCGAACCCTCGGCCAGGTACTGATAGAGCACGCGCGTCTCATTCTCGTCTGTCGAATATTTCACTAATGTGGCCAAAACCGTTAATACCAGCGCTTGCGTGGACAAATCGGAGAGCACTTCGGGATCCAATAGCACATTGGACTCATTGGAAACAGATGAACGCGAACCACGCTCCTGTAGAAAGTATACAGTTTTATATTGTCATTTGTTACTTGTGGAAGTATTTTTTGCAAATAATTAATTTTGATTTYTTCAAGATTTTAGTTGAAATTTTTGGGTAATTAGAGTGCATGCTTAGTTATAWAGACATGCGAAGCAAGCAATTAGGTACGTGTCAAGCAACGGTCAAGTAATTGAAAAAATTCACAGTTTATATAATAGAGACAGCTGATTTAATCTAAAAAGGAAAGGTTATAGATAAAATCAAAATGAAAAGATTTTACAAAAACTATTAGAAGCAATAAAAATTAAAAAAAAAAAAAATACAAAAAAAAAAAACCTCAATTTAGGCGCGCCGCAGCTAAGATTTCTATATTGATTTTGATTAGTCAGTTTGTATGGCAGCTACATATATGTTATAGCGGTTCGATCTAAACAGTTCGGAGTTTTTTGCAATGGCTTGGACAATAATCCTTGTCGGATTTCGTGAAGAAATCTGGTCAAATATAAAAGTTCTCCATACAAGGACTTCATTTTGATTCTTCAGTTTGTACGACAGCTATCTGATATAGTGGTCCGATCTCAACAATTTGCTCAGAGATTTTAGCAATGGCTTGGGCAATAATCCATGCGAAATTTCGTGAAGATATTTGGTGAATTAAAAAAGTTTTCTATATAGGAGCTTGATTTGTGTCGGTCAGTTTGTATGGCAGCTATATGCTATAGTGGTCCGATCTGAACAATTTGTTCGGATATTGTGGTGCTATCTTGAACAATAATTTGAGCCAAATATTGTGAAGATATCTTGTCAAATAAAAAAGTTTTCTATATAGGAGCCTGATTTGTGTCGGTCAGTTTGTATGACAGCAATATGTTACAGTGGTCCGATCTGAACAATTTGTTGGCAGATTGTGACACTGTCTTGGGCCATAATGTATGCCAAATTTCATGAAGATAACTTGTCGAATAAAAAATATTTCCATACAAGGACTTGATTTTGATCGTTTGGTTTCTATGGCAGCAATATGCTATAGTGGTCCGATCTGAACAATTTGTTGGCAGATTGTGGCGCTGTCTTGGGTAATAATCCTTGCCAAATTTCGTGAAGATATCTTGTCAAATAAAAAACTTTTCTATACAAGGACTGGATTTTGATCGTTAAAAAATCTAATTAAAATTAATACTAAAGAAACACAAATTAATTTATTTTATTTATATAACTATTATTTGAAATTAAGTAAAATTAATTTTTTTGTTTCAAATCATAAATAAAAATAGTGCAACAAAAATGCATTAATTTCTACTTACTGCTAAATATTACGCAACTTAAAYCATTTCTCCAAGCATTTTTACTAATAAAATATCGAAATAAATAACTCTAATAATGCATATTTTACGACACATGAACTTAAAATACACATGAATTTAAAATACACAAAAATAAAAACTTATTAATATCTAAAACACTGATATTTCTAATAAATATCTTTGARGGTGCCAAGCGAACAACAAAGTGGAGCTTGTAAAGACAACTGTGCGCTTTGGGCAATAATAAATAAAATTTGTGTTGCTGCATATTTTAGTACTTTTATAGTTYATTTTTTCATGCGAAATATTTATTGTGTGTGTATATGCGTAGATATGTAGGAGAGTGGTGTTTAACACGAAATCAAGTCAAGTGCTGTACAAAGAGTGTTTGTTGTGTTGTGCTGCMCAAACATTCATTAACATTTATGGAAAATATGAATATTTTGTACAAGGAAACAGTTATATTACAAATAAAAAAAAAAGAGCTAGAAGAACAGTTCTCATGTGTGTATAAGAAAAGGAGGACGAGCAATAGCTAATAGAGCTAGTAGTAAGTAAGAGAAGAGAGCACAATAGCTAATACCTGGCGTTCTTCGATAGTGCTCGTATTATTCGGTTCTTTTGTTGTTGGCACCGAAAAAGAGCGCTGTGTTTTAAACAAAACTTTGGCATTCATCTAGATGATTTTTTTTTTTTGTTTTTTTTTTATTGATAAATTTTCAAATCCATATGCATGATAGTTTTCCAAATAAAAAACACGTGTATAACCCAAATACAGGCAGCCAGCATAAAGTTACGAATAGAAATCATAAATCATCAACCACAAATAAATTCCAATAGCAAGTTCAAATGCCCATCGTCAATTGGGTGGAGGGCGGTTGTGTGAGAAAGAAAGGGGGTTGCATGCAGTTGATTGGTTGTTGTCGGTGTGTTGGTTTAAAACAGCAATTTTAAAATTAGCCAAAACAAAGAAACAAATGATAATTAATATATTTGATAGCAATTGTTGTCAGGATATATATATATTTTTTAAATTAAATTAACAAAATTAAATTGATTTTTGTTCAAATCATAAGTAACAACACGTTGAACATATCAGCAATATGTTTTGAGTACACGATTTATTACGATTATGTAATGCAAGCAGCAAATTATTAGCAGGCAATAATTTAACATGTAGTTGTTTTTTTTTGGTATCGATTACGTAACGCATATATATTTGTCAACATAAAAATAGAGAAAATATAGAAAATAGATTTCAATCAATTACTTTACGTGATTTATACTTGCTTCAATGCAATAAATACAGAAAATGATATTACTTTTACGTCTACAAAACTGAAAAAATAAGCAGGATGAACGCTGGCGATTAACTGGGTTCAAAAAACAAGAAAATACTTTAACTTCGGCTGCGACGAAGCTATAATAATCCTAAAGGTTTCCTATAGCAAAATAGGGTAGGAAAAAAGTTCCTTCTTCTAATTTTGAGAGACCAGTTTGTATGGCAGCTATATGCTATAATGATCCGATATCAACAATTTGTGCGGAGATTGTAGCGTTGCCCTGGATAATAATATGTGCCAAATATCGTGAAKATRTCTTGTCAAATAAAGAAGTGTTTCATACAAGCACTTGATCCGATCGTTCAATTTRTATGASSGMTATATGYTATATAGATCTGATCTGCACCATTTCTACGGAGATTGCACCATTGCCTTATTCAATAATCCATGCCAAATTTCGTGAAGATATCTTGTCAAGTTAAAAACTTTTTCACACAAGCACTTTATTCCGATCGTTCAATTTGTATGGCWGCAATATGCTATACTTGTCCGATCTGAACAATTTATTAGTAAATTGTAATGCAGCCTTAAATAATAATCTATGCTAAGTATCGTTAAGATATCTTCTCAAATAAAGAATTTTCCCATACAAGAACTTTATTCAGAACGTTCAGTTTGTATGGCAGCTATACCCTATARTACCTCCAATATCGGCGGTGCCGACAAATGAGCAACTTCTAGGCAAGGAAAGTATGTGTACAAAATTTCAAAGCGATATCTTAAAAATCTGAGGGACTTAATCCTGTATAAACRGACCGATAGACAAGACGTTACCGCAATAGACACAGCTTTTATCCGCTCAAGGACGATTATACCGTACATCAGTTACTAATATAGARAAGGTCTTGGAAAAAAAAATTGAAATTATGTTGATGCTCGCAAATAGGACATATTTCATAATCTATGGAATCGTAGTCAGGTCAAATTCTAATACCAGTGCTCTCAGCATAGTTTACATTAGCTGTTGCGATAGCTGAAACATCGAAGATTTCAGATATCARAATTGTATACTTTCAACGTGTTTACTAAATTTCTGAAAAGTAAACTGAACTAAAAGGGATTCGCGTTCATCTTGCATTAAAAACAGTGATCGGCATTATTGCTGAGTGCTCAAACGCTACCTCTTTCGATAACTCTATGTATTTAGACATTGGTAATATTAGTTCGCACCGACTCGTTAGAGTCTGGCGGATGCCGTTCCCACGACATTCGGGGCTACGTAACCGTCAAGGACCCGGATTTTATCCGACCAAGGACTGTCAACTCGGCAGAATTCTGTCGATACGACAACAACAGCATTGAACTGGCAGAATTGTTAAGATATGCCAACCACTGTTTCAAAAAAAAAAAAAAAAAAATTGTATAATAGTAAAGTAGTAGAGTTAGTAGTAGCTTAAAAACAAATTGTATTTAGATTGAATAAAAAAGAACTGTTGAAAATAAAAACTAATAAACACACACATACATATACAATAGTAGCTTACCTGATGTGCAGGTCCTTTGTGATGACGCGCAAACTGTAAAGCGGACTGATCAAGCATATCCCAGGACTTTTGCCGACGTGGCAGCGACATGCCGAGCGCCTGCAAAATACATGTAACGGTATTTTATAAAATTTAAACTATTAGTGTGCGACATTTACATTCTGATTGCCATAGAAGATCGTTTCGCCATTTTCCATAATGCTCAAATCGGTGGTCCATCGTGGTATGGCATGTTTGACGTGGCAGCGTGAGCGCACTTCCTCGGAAACGGCTACCAAAGCCGTCAAATAGGCAACGCTGTCAGGTGTCACTTCGAATTTGTCACGATGAAAAGGTTTSGCGACGAGACTCAGCAGCGTGCCGAGTATGCGGGATGTGCGAAAGACAGTCGAAGGTGTGGGATGACGAAAGCCCTGGAAGTGAAACAAAATTTAATAAAATTGTGTCACATAAAACCAAAGCGCAAAAAAAAACAAAAAAACAAAAAAAAACAAAAAAGTGCATCATACTTTTAGTAAGTGACCGACGAGTGCAAAGTGGAAATTGCTGCGAAACGATAAGCCTACTGCATGATCGAGTTGCTTGAAGTGCCACTCCAGTTTTTCGCGTGTACGCATCATGACATCGGCTATGCTCTCGTGATCGAAGCAACCCTGACGTTCCAGCGTATGCAGATTTTGTTCGAGAAACGCCAAACCGGCATCATACAACGATACTTCGTCCAACTGCAGCACGGAGATAGCAACCCAGAAGAGGGCGCGATGTATTGGCGATTCCTGCACAGCAAAAACAGAAAATATATTCACATAACAGGTTAAAAATAGAACTATTATTATTAACTAACAGGTCTCAGTAGGGGTTGTATGCGCGTCAAACATAAAACGATCGCCTCGATTAATGTGATGTCGTTGAATGATTCCAGTGCTTTTACTAAAATGCGCAGAAGTTGTTTCACTTCCTGATCGGTTATGCTTTTACTAATGCAACCGTAAACTATGAGCGCACGTGGTTCCAATGCAGGATTGTAACAGAAGGCGAAACTGCGCGACAAYGTCGTCCATGTCTCCAGCCATTGGCAATCCGGCACATCGGGCATGCAGACCGACATGATCTCCGACAGCGAATCGACCACCTCTTCTAATGAGGGCAATGTGATGCGCTCCACATCGGCTGGTAACATTTGACAGACGCGCTCATTGCCCAACCATCTGTCGGATGGATGACGATAGCTCGAGCGGAAGGCTGTTACAGCGGCCGATTTGACTTTGCTGATACCGAAGAGCGCRTAGAATTTGTAGAGTGAGAATTCTTCGAGWGCCAGCCGGAGCACGCGCTTTGCATTGTCTGAGAAAGTCGGTTTAGTGCAAGTTGTTAGCGAGTGTATGATGTTGACGACGAGACCGTGTATGGAGGCGCGCATTGTCACCGAACCGGAGCAGATCTAATAAGGTGGGAGAGAGAGTGGAGTGTTAATTAAAGTTCAAATTATGAATTTATATATACATATAAGCTTAAGTGAAAGAGTTGAAGTATAGAACCAACGTTTCGAAATTTGAAGGTTTGGTTATACTGTAGACACAATTGTTCAMGAAGTGAAAAATATAAGCCTTTAAAGTTTTAATGAACGTTASAATTTGAGCTTTAGTAGAGCTTAGTAACTTGATGAGTAAGGATCACGCAAAAAACTTGATTTGAGCTTATGRCGAYCGATTGAACTACATAAACCAAATCCCTCTCTGAAATTAATACTTTTAAAAGTGTTTGTTATTCATACAAACAATCATGAGCGACCTTGGAGATGGAAGTTGAACTAAGACTTACCGATCTAAACGAGGTTAGATCTTCGAAATAACAGCCATTGGCCGGATAAAATCCATGTCAATTCCGGTGCGTAGAACCGGCTGTTGTGGAAATTGCTTCTTGATGTCGCCCATCGAACACCTGCAGAGTGAAGCCCGTATGCTTCGAGAGCATCACGAGGTCATTCCTYAATTAAGTCGATGATATCAAACAATACACCTACCAGACTTCGGACCGAACTAACTTCCGACAAGCAGTAACCGCCATTCAGAGTGGAGCCATTAACAACTTCACTGAATGGCCTACTTGGAGTCAAGCTACTACTCATTGCGGACGAAGAGCTCGAGTTGGCGCGAAAATCGAGACTGACAGTTGCAGTGCTTCGTTSTGGATTACCCTGTTACAACTTACCGATCCAAAGAGTGTGGGATACTCCCCCTGGTTTTACATTCCTTTAACTACCCGAGAAAAGACTTTTCAACCCATACACTAATAAAAATTACAGGATGTTTGGAGCCTTAATGACAATATAAATAAAGTGAGGTAATAGTCCCCGCTTAGGTGGTTACATACCGTTGGTTGTCATCGAAATAATTTAACGGATCTAATACAATGAAATGTTATATTTCGTCGGGGTCGGACCATAGGGAGAGGAATGTTCTCGTAGCGACAGAAAACATTCTTGTTCTTTAAAAAAAACAAAAAAAAAACAAAACCGGTCCGTTCCGGTTACTTAGACCCGACTGTCTTGGGGTTTGCTGAGCATGCAAAGGGTTGGTTAGTCATGTCAGAGTGGATTCTGGTAAGTARAGGTTTGAGTATCCAGAACGAAGTTGCGCAAGGGTCAATATAAATTCTCGGGGCGACTCGAGCTCGTGGTCTGCAATGGGTGCTGGTTTGAACTGCTAGCCAATGCCTTCTGCCTACAAAAGCCATTATACATTRCCAATATAGGAAGCTTTACTTTTAATAGTTTTCGGCCGGATATARTTTCAGAGTCGTTTGCGTTACAATAAAAGCGATTTCTAAGACAGCCGGTTCGGCGTTACTGAACTCGAACGGGGCTGTTATTTCGGCGAACTCACCMTGTTTGGAACGGTGAGTTTTAGTTTAAGTGCCGTAGTATATATTAGATTGTCAAAAAAGTCTTGCGGTATTTTCGCTAGTTGGCGCAGAGAGCGCGTAGTTCTAGTTTTATTCGTCGCTATACTTTTTTGGAAAGCTCATTTCACGCGCTAACACGTGTTTGATTGATTCGTCGTTTCTTTTAAGTTGTTCGTGAGTTATAGCGTCGCAAACATGTAGCAAAATAAATAGAAAATACGGCATATTTTACAGTACTACTACGATGAAGGCAAAAATGCATCACAAGCTGCCAATAAAATTTGTGCAGTTTATGGATCCAATACAGTTTCCATTTCCACCGCACAACGATGGTTTCAACGTTTTCGTTCTGGTGTAGAGGTGGTCGAAGATGCGCCACCGCCCCGGAAGGCCTGTCGTCGAAAATTGCGATAAAATTGCTGAATTGGTCGCAAGAGACCCCCATAGTAGCAGCCGTAGCATCGGTCAAGAGCTGGACATGAGTCATCAAAAAAAATTTTGTGAACAATTGAAAATTCAATCAAAATGCCGCAAGACTTTTTTGACAACCTATTATCTACAACTCTCTAACCTCACTCTATATGAATGATCTTGTATCAATGTTCCACCTACTGCAGCAGCATCATAAAATCATTTAGTTTACTCTAGAAACAAATGAATAACCTCACATAATTTATTTTTTTTTTAGCAAAAATCTACTTACAACAACAAAAAAACAAACACTGCAGTCAGGTGATAACTTGAAAAATCAACACAAAATAGAATTATGTAACGCTGCAATAAAGTACTCACCAAAAACGTGATAATATGAAATAGATATGGCAAATGTGTTACGACATCAAGGCAGTTATTGAAGGACAACATGAGCAGAAAACGCGTCAGTATTGCAATATCATCCCACATCATATGCTGCTCCAGAAACTGTGTGGGATTGGTGCAGGTCTTATCCAAGACGCGGCACATGCGCGTTATGATCTTCTTCGACACCAACAGCACATTGGCCGAGGCGAGCGCCACAGCCGTGTCGGCCATAATCTCCACGTGCGGCGAACCCAAACCGTAAGTAATCGATTTGTGTAGAAAATTATCCAACACCATATCGATGAGATCGGGTATGCGACCAATTGAGCCCCAAATTTTCGCCTGCACCGATGGATACATCTCCTTCTGTTCGATTGTAAGACAAATCAATTTATCTAAGATCTGTGCGACCTTTAGCTTTTTGGCGTCATCGTTTGATTTGCAAAATTTCAGTAGGTTATTCAGCCACGGCGTCATATATTCCAAGCATAAATGCTTCAACTCAATTGTGCTGCGCTGGAAACCCTGTATGCATTCCTCTAGAAATTCGAGCGTTAAATGCGGTTCATTGGTGGCCAATTTCTCGCTGATGGATTTAATGAAAATTGTGTTGTTCGATGGTATACACAAACCGTGTGCCTCCAATAGTTGACCTTCGATTTTCAAATCAAAGGAGCAGGTGAGCGAGCAGAGTAAATTATACGCAGCTAAACGTAAGGTGGGATCTGAGGTGCCTAGATTAAGTAGTGCCATATTTAAAAGTGTACCGGGCACATCTTTCGGACGTATTTTCTGGTGCACCGTCACCGATTCCGGTTGACTTAACTCCCAACGATTACGTATATGTATGATAGCCTGTACAATGGTATCACAATCGTTGTGTATAAAKSWAAGCTGWCCRCTTTCATTCGTTATAGAGAGCGTAAATTGATTATCATCTACTAGACAAACTTCCTCAATCTCAGAGGCATAATAGACATCGTTGAGCAGTACTGAATGACCCAGCACTTTGGTTTTCTCCACTGCTGTCACTTGCAATGCAGTGGGACCGACTTTTATAGCAACTTTGGTATCTTTATGGCTAAGCTTGAGCGCATTATTGAATACCTTGAGATCTTCGTCTAGCGATAATGTGGCGCCTGGCAGTTTCTGTTGTTCAGTGTCGATGTATTCATTGAGCTTATTGGACGAATCGATGAACACTAGTTTGCGATCACTCTGTGGATTAGTTATGATAATAGTTATAAAACCAATTTTATTTTTTTTTTTTGTTAGCAAATTTTACAAATATAAGTACCTTTATCGGCGCTAGTATGCGTTCATGGAATTTTGTATATTCACGCACCCATGAATTACAGTTGTAAATGTAAATGGTGTATAAATTGTCATAGGTAACGGTTGGCAGCACACAAAACCATTTCTGCAAGAATTCGGTGCGAAAGCGATTATCCGAGCAAGTGTGYGTGAAGTCTATGAGCAATTCGAAAGGTGAGTGGCATAATGCTTTGAGCGTGAGTATTACATGATACAGCAGTAAGTCGCCATTCGTTTCGCCGATTCTGAAAGTAAGTGAACGAAGAAAATTAAGAATTAATTATTTAAATAAAGTGGTAATTTGAAATAAATTAAATATTATTGATCAGGGTTTCAGCTCCCTTAACTGTGGTTCTACGGATCCTTATAAAAGATGCCAGATCGATTGACGGACAGACTTCAGGACTAATGGTGTAGAGGAGAAACGATCACATTCCCACAACAGACGGGTCTACGTATTCAGTACGGACTTTTACGGACGGATTTTTATCCGGCCAAGGACTGTCAACTAGGTAGATTTCTGCCACTACAACAACAACAACAACAACAACAACAGGGGAAACGATGGAAAAACGGACATGGAAATCGACTCCGGATCCTCAACTGACAGAGCTGTCTTCAGACTAGTATGGCTGTTATTATTACCAAGCGATTGAAATAGGGTTAGATCCACGAAATAACAGCACTTCGACGGATAAAATACGGATCAATACTGGTATCGTAAAACCAGGCAGTTGCTAGTGCGGCTGTTCGAAGAAGACGTTGGCGGTATGGATGGGGTTAGTGGCGCATGCTGTCATGCGGAGACCCATTGCGCGCAGGACATATATTAGATATGTCGGGTTCTATTCTAAATAAGTAGGGTTTTAGCCTGCCATAGTATCCCGAACGAAGCTGCGCAGTGGTAACTCTCGCTTCTAGCGCCCATTCGAGCTTTTCGTCTGCAATGGGTGGTGATTTGACTACAAGTACGCCATTCACTGAGAAGCAGTGGGTGAAGATATTGACGGCTCCACTGTGAATGACGTTCACTGCTTGTCGGAAGTTAAGCTCCCGTATCGACACATGGCACCGTGACCAAGCCGCATAAATATCCTAGCAATAACTGTTAACTCAGCATGCAACTAACTATATTACTTGTTAACTTGCCGTGCAAGCGCACTCTACTCACTTGTAACGCCTGGCAATGTAGTAGAATACGGGTAATCCCGCTTTACTTGCGCCGGCTTGATAGAAGATATTCATGGATTTTATGCTTTTGAACTCCTCCTTTTCATGCATTTGATGTTTCACCATAATATCTTCGAAGTAATTCGATGACATGTCAATGGAGCTCCAACGCGCATACGATGAGAACATCATGCTRCAGTGCACCGAACTAAAATGTATAATAAATAAGAATTCGTTGCTGTTTTTTTTTTTTAATCTTATTTAATTATTTACTGTGAATCCACTGGTTTATGTTCTGGCGGCCCCAAATAAGCCAGCAATGTGGCCATTTTGTCGAAAGGACGCCTGCCTACAGCTTTGTGATCACGACTGCTGGAGAGATAGTCGCCAATGCGCTCCTGATGCGTCCACAGCAAACGATGTAATGCCAAAACATTGGCATCTGAGATGAAGCTCATGCTGTGCGAAGCCTGGTCCACCGTCTCGCAGTCCGAGGCAATTTGTACGAAAAAGTGACGACCCTGTTCAAATCGTGCGCGTAGAAAATCATTAAATGACACCATATGCTGCTCCTTAGAAAACTCAATGTGATTGGCGATGTTTTGTAAGATTTTCGACATCAACATAAGACCACGCTTCACCGAGGCGGGCACTTGGCGATTAACAATGCCGAGTTCTTGGGGTGAGACTGGAAAGCARCGTATAMGAWTTTTTATTTTTTATTTTTTGTTTTTYGCATAAAGCGGTGGACTTTATACTCACCAATAGCTGGATTTATAAAGCGTAGAAAGATYACAGTGCCCACTGCGCCAATATTGGTTTGYAAGACGGTGGGAAAGCGTTTGCTCAACACCTGATAGAGGCAGTGACACATTGAGCGCAACTGTGAGGGAAAACGATCCACTGAATTGAGTATCGCTTCAAAGAAGACTCTGGTGAGCGATATTAGGTTCTCTTTATTGCGTTCCAAGTCTTCACCCGGCTCAAGTCTGTGCGAATGAATTTACAGGCAATCACACAATTTACTAACTTTAACAATATTACTCACCTAGCCGGATCCACCTCATAGCTAGTGGTTTGATCATCGAGCAAAGGTCGTATTAGCGGCTCTAACAAATTTTGCAAATAGCTTGCACCGTAAATTTTAAAGCAAAATGCCATTATTTTACTGCCAAGCGAATTGCCGCGAAAGAGTGTCGACATGCATTCGGATATTTCGACTTCGCGATAGAACATATTCCACAAGAGCGGTGAGAGCAGATGCTTGGCATCGAATAGTGTTACCAGCACACGTGCCAATTCATCCATTTGTGAAGTGGTCACCACATTAGCCAATGCCATCGCTATAGGCAGCTCACCCTTATCGCTAATCATTGTAACCAATTGGACCAACTGCTCGAATCGATCTGCAAGCACAGTCTCGGCTAGCGTATCGAATTCAGTGCCTTGCTTCAAGATGCGCGTAAGCACTTCCATAAAGGCGGCGCGTGTTTGTAAATCGGGATTGTAGCCAAGATCGATGGAATGCATCAGACCCGAGTCGATGTTGGCGCCGAGCAAATTTGACATCGCCTGTATGGTGGTAAAGCGTAACATGCCCAATCTGCCATTAACAGCCGGATGCGGTGGGAGTAGCGGTGGGTTATTTAACTCTTTTTCAGCCTCAGTGCTATCAATGCAGTCGTTTAGGAGATTCATGAAAAGCGTAAAGTATCTGAAATGTGTAAAAAAAAAAACAAAAAGACAAGTAGTGTTAATGTTTGAAGGMAATGTGGATACTGTGTGTATGTGTTATACTTGAGGAATAATGCGCTCTTCGCGTCCATCAAATCGCCACGGTCGGATTCCTCGGGTTGCAAAGGTAGTCCACGTAGCAACGCCGCAACCGCTTCCATACAAGCTATATCGAGTTCACGGAATATTTCAGCGGGACTAAAAAATTAGAAAAAGGAAGTATGTAACAAGAAAAAAAATCGTGTTTTTTTTTTTTTTGCTTGTAGTAAAAATCGTATGAGTTAAAGTTGTTAGTTAACCTGGCGTCTAGGTATATGCCGTAAAGTTCACTGTAATCCTTACAATTTTGAAGCCGGCAGGAGTCCACTGCACCGTACGAGATATCTTCACAAAATTCAGCATGAAATATTGCCCAAGACAACTATATAATCTCCGAAGAAATTGCTCAGATCGGACCACCGTAGCAAATAGCTCCCACACAAACTGATMGATCMRAATKCAGTCCTAGTATGGGAAATTTTTTTATTTGACGAAATACCTTCGCGAAACTTGGCATGAAATATTTTCCATGCCAATTGTACAATTTACGGAGAAATTCCTTCGATCCGACCATTATAGCATATAGCTCCCATAACCAACTGATCGATCAAACTTCAGTCCTAGTATGGAAACATTTTTTATTGAAAGAGATATCTTCACGAAATTCGACATGAATTATTGCCCAAGACAACTATATAATCTCCGAAGAAATTGTTCAGATCGAACCWCCGTAGCAAATAGCTCCCACACCAGCTCGATCAAAATTCAGTCTYAGTATGTGAAACTTTTTTATTGAAAGAGATATCTTCAAGAAATTCGACATGATTTATTGTCCAAGGCAATTAWACAATCTTCGAAAAAATTGTTCAGATCGGATCATTATAGCATATAGCTTCCACACAAATTGATCAATCAAAATTTAGTCCTAGTATGGGAAATTTTTTTCTGACAAGATATCTTTATGAAATATTATCCATTTAAGTCGCAAAATAAATTTATGTTACTCACTTTGTTGGSGGCGGTTCGTTGGCTGTCGGTACTATTTGGTGTGAKGTGCCCATAACCCAATCGCTTAAGTACTCCACTAATTTATTGCGAAATTTCATTTCTTGCCGAAAGGCCAAATCGTCGCGACGTTTTATCATTATCTCTACCAAATTACAAACGCGCACTTTGGCGCGTATCCCTGACACAGTCATTTCGCGATGACGCATATAACGCACAATGCCCAGCATCATGCCTTCAATGCTCGTCACGCTTAGGTACTCGGAAGCAGCGACTTGCTCATTGTTCGGATCCTTCACGGGTCGTGGGCTCAATATCGAAATCATTATGTGTATAATGTGGTCGATGAAGGCGGTATTGATTTCGGAGACGTTCACTTGTCCCTGCTGATCGAAAAATTTCTCRACTATCGAACGTATTTGATCGAAAACTATGGGATAGAGTTGTGGTGTCATTTCTTCCGAAATTAAATCTTTCACATTTTTCTGTATATTCGAGCCGATTTTTTCATTATTACACACCAACAAGCGCAACAACTGACCGATGAATCTGTGTGTGGTGAGTAAGTAAAAACGATTAAAAATAATTAAATAATATTTTTATGCGAATTTGTTCAATAACGAATACTCACTGTGACACCGGACAGTATTGTAAATCTTGCTGCGGCACCGGCACTATCGTAGTCAATGATATGGTGCTGGGATGCAGTAGAGAACCACGTCCGGAACTGGTGGAACATGAGTAGAGCGAATAGAGCGAGACAGCTGGTATCGTGGAGATCGAAGTCAAACTGCCGGACGCTGCTAAAGTGTTCTGCGATTGCGCCAAACTGTTGTGCGACTGCAGGAGATTGCTCGTCGCAGGCATACCGCTACTGGAACCAGCAGTTGCGGTATTATTTTGTAATTGCATTTGCTTCCAACGTGAAGACAAACGCTTTTGCAGACACACGCCGCCAAGTGTTAGCAGAAACCATGTCATGTTGGCCCACTCGGTGATGTGCTCCTCTAAATCATGTTCCGAACTTTGATGACTCGCGCGACGCTTGCCAACGCCACGATGGAAGAGCTCGGCTTGCACATCGTCACTTTTATATTTGGGATATGTTTGCAAGACTTTGCTGGTGAGTTCCCAATTTCTACGGTGAAAAGGAAAGAGTCGATGAAGTAGAAAAATAGGTATTTCAAAAGCAATTWAAATAATATAATATTTATTCGAATTTATTGATTAATAAACATTAAAATTATTAACTAAAAATTTATTAA